AATCAAGCAGACGTTGCCTTTTTGCATCCTTGTTGCAACTCTTTTCTTTGACACCTGAAAACACTTTCAACTAGATGATTCGCGGATCCATGTGCGGTGTGTTGCGACAGGTGGTCCAACATTTGCTCGGGGCTCCACACATGATGAGCAACCATCGAACTAATAAGTTTGGTGAGTGCTTTTACTTCTTCTATCATCTTCTATCTCACAAGCCCAAGAAAAGCTCCAGCCAGTGCTCCAGCCCTTAAGACTTCAAAGCATCCATCTGAAAGAGAATGTGCTGTTATCGAAGTGCCTGTCATTTTCTCAGGACTCGATGGACCTTTGACCGCGCTACAAGACACCTATGTGGTCACCGTGGTCTTGAAGTCCTTCATGATGGACGTGCTGAACGCCAGCCCGCTTCAGGTGCCTGTCTTCAAACGCTCCGCAGTTGGTCCGGCGTTTTGGGGCGTTCGTTCTCTTTCTGCGTGTGACGGCTTAGACTACGCCAACATTCTGAACAGCCAACAAGCTGGTAGAAGCATCACCTTAGACCAGCCCAAACTGGACGACTTCGCGTGCGGCTCGTGTGGCTGCGGCGCTTTTTTTCCGCGCGGCCAGGCTGGAATGTCAGAGATTCTCTCATGCATGCTCTTCAGCGCACAATATCCAGTGATCTTCGACATGCCTCCTGGATGGATGGAATGCACTGGGGGGTTCAGAAAAGTAAAGAAACCAACTTGTGTGGGGCAGTATCCATATACATACCGTCACCGAAAGTCAAAAAGGTGGCAGCTGGTGACAGAAAACATGTTGCCAAGCCCTTCTGTGACCTGCTATGTCAATTCCTATGCACATGAGCTCTTAACTCCCATGAATTTGGTCAACCTCATAATTGGTTGTGCCCAGTACTTCTAAAACCCAACATGAAACCTCAAAGTCCCTGGTTTGGTAGAGGAAGACTGTCTGCCAGTTGGTCTTCCGAGACGGTTCAGGTTCGCTTCAATTAGGCCATTTCTACGTCACCACTCTGTCCGATCTGTCCGAAGGGAAGCGCCACGGACCGTGCCGCCCGCGCCCTCAGCAACCGCTGCGAGGGCTCGAAGGTTCGGCCGAAACCGCGCAGCGGGACATCGCTGGTTCAGGTATTGGCTGCCGCCCTTGCGGATGGGCCATTTGTTGGCTGAAGTCTTGTTCGGCACCATTGGCCTGTGCTACCTCTTCCTGGACCTTCGTGCCTCGTAAATCGAACATTTCTGTTGAGGTGGATGGACAGGTTGCGGGGGACACAGCTTGAAGCAGGACTGGATGAGCATATCTGAGCAATGTGGTGCGTCCGTGTGTGTCAATGGTGGTGTCGGGTGTGCCTGAGTGATCACTTCGAAGCTTGGGAGGAAGTTTTTTGAGGCACTAATGTTTGTCCCTAGCAACACCTAAGTGATTTCCTAATAGAAGCAAGATAATTCAGAGACTGCTCAACAAGGTCTTTTCAACCCACCTACCGAACAAAAGAGGACAGATGTCTTAATCCTTACATAAGCCATAAAGTATCCCGAAATTTACATGCAAGCCCTTCAAATTTTCACCCCAAACAACCAGTTTCATGTAATTGTCACATTTCCTGGATAGTCATGGGGTTCCCCCCAGCGATAGTCCTCAAAGCAAGCCTCGTGATTCACCAGTCTATCCCTTGACTTGAACCAAGTCAAGAATCTTTACTGCACATACTTCCTTGCAGAGGTCCACATGGACCCCCAAGTCTCCACCAGGTTGTTGAGGAGAATAGTCTTCCACCAGTCAAGTCTCAGGTTCTATGTTAGTCAAGTCTTCCACCAGGGGGGTATACTTAATTATACGTTTAAAGATGTCGACAAGCTTTCATTTGCCTCATATGACTGGTGCAGGTGATCTATAGAATCTAATCCACTGCGCATCACTGCGCTATAGGTCTGGTCTTTGACTCCAGCATGGTGTGCTCCGTTGAGCCTTGAGTACGTGGCGCTGTGAGCCATTGCAGGCGGCGGAACTTGGGAACATCCGAAGCAATGTGTAGAGCTCACAAGCGCGGAAATCACATGTGGAGCTGGAGAGATACCCTCCCGAAAAGTAACATGGAACCTAGGAATTGACAAGAGGAAGACCATTTTCCTCTACAACCCAGTGGTTTTGGGGGTTCCATGTTAATCTGCAGGGGAGATACGTTGGATGGCTTGAAACAAAAGCAGCAGTAACTCAACCAGATGGGGATGCTTGTTATGACCAAAAATCCCCTCCCCAAATCCGGTATGGTATACGCGCCGCCCGGGCGCCGCTTCAGTTGGTGCTTTGTTCATGCGTGCTTCCGCAACACGCCGGAATACCGTCCCCGGCCACGTGCAAGCTTCTCAGCCAAGGGGCTGAAATCAGTGGGGGGGATGGGTCTCCTGAAAGATGTGGTGTATCAGAAAGAAGGCAAGCATGAATACCTGGCCCTTGAACAGACTATCTACTTGTTGTGTACCTGGAATACCAGTTATGACCTTCATCCCTGGCCTGAACAGACTATATATAACTTGTTACAGGTCAGAAAGATTCAGAGAGCTCGCGCCAGGAGGGGGTTTTCATTCATTTGACCTTCGCCTCGGCGGAACCGCCGTTTCGCAAGTGGCCAACACCTGTGGTGAAGCTATGGTTATAGCTCCGAGCGGCAAACGTGGTTCTTTGCCCTCTTTGTTTCGATATCAACGTCTTTTCATGGGTTGGTTCTCCTGGGACATGAAGCTCCTTGGATGTTTTACCTTCTTCTACCCACTCAAAGAGAGTGACCCCCCCAAAGAGACAGACATGTGAACCCCCTCGTTTCGTGTATTGGAAGCTGCTTTTGATGCAATTCCAGGGTTCCAAAAAAGTGTGTTTGACAAGCAGCTCTATATCATTGTTCCTAGAGCTTGGCCTGCAAGGAGACGGTGGTATACGGTGGTGACTTCTGGTTTGACACTGGCCAAGCACAGTGTGTTGGTCGTCATATCATTGATGTTACATCTCTTTCAGACACAACCTGATCTCACTTCTTGAACATCAAAGGCGATCGAAAAAGATCCTAGGTCCAAACGCACTTTTGTCCCATTTGTACACAATGTCAGTCCTCCGCTAGATCAAAGCCTTCCATGGACAGCAGCTGGAGATTGCTCCGGTGAACTCAGTGCCTCTTCCTCCCCTGCCGTCGCGCGGATGAAGAATCGGCGCGGCGGGCTGCACCGAGCCGCACGCGGTATGGCGGTCGCCACCACGCCGCGGTGAACATGCCGCTCGGTTCATCGAACGATGAAGCCATGGTGAACGGCGCTGGGCCGAAGATTGCGGCTTTTCGACGCGAAAGCAGTGGGATGGGCCGGAAGAAAGATACATCGATCTATAGCTTGTGAACAAGGACCAAGGTTGCGCCACATGCTTAATCAACTTTCCGGGTCGTTCATGAACGGTAGCAGATTCCTCTACTTGCGGTATGTCCACCGAACCCATGCGTTGTAGATTTTTTAGGGTTGTCGGTGATGTGAGCCAGAGCCATGGTGACGGTGGAGAAAGCAGTGACCCAAGAGCAAGCTGAGTAGCGACTCCAGACCCCGGGATGCGCTCGCATCAAAACCAAGCACGGCGGACCAATTCTCAAGAACCATACCTTGGCCTTCCGCCCGCTCCGACCACCCCAGTGCGGGGTCTTAGAAGCCAATCTCCTTGACTTATCTGAAGCTCTCTTTTGCGCAAGAAAACATGGCGTCCGTTTCTGAAGTGTGGTCGAACCAGTCACGTGCTGTTCTCGTTTCCTCGTTACTGACCACCGGTGTTTTCGTTGGATGCCCGCCCGCGTCCAAATCCATGGGTTCGTCACGTCATTTTTGAAGGTCCTTTAGGCCAATCATTGCTTTGGTTTTGACTCGATCATGGTCAAGCTTTCGATGTATGGTATTATAATGTATACTGACAATAATGGATTTTATAGATGCCAGTTAGACTTGGAGTGAAGCTGAAAGTGGATGACACCACCTCTTTGGTATTCGGATTTCATGGTCATCCGAACTCGGAGCCAAGCCATCCACTCCCATGATGGTTTCAGGGAGTGTGGATGCATCATGATGCATCATCCCAGGCCCCAATGCAGTGGAGTTTGGATGAGTTTGTCGTCCCACGATTCCCATTGTTCATAGTATGTCATAGTAGTATGTCGTATGTCACTGCGAGGGATACATGGGCATTTCGCAAGGTTGCTCTAAGTCGAGCTTGGTGGTTGCATAACTTGACAAAGAAAGGGCAGAAAAGACATATACTAGTACTGGTACAAATTACAAATTGCAAATTTATATGGCGCATCAACGTCTCATTACATCCCATTTATAACTTGGTAATTACAAACCCCCACACTGAGTTATATATAATAAGATATCATAAGACTTTTTTCTAACAGACAAGTTGACCATTTGGCTGGACACTGTCAGTGTACGAATCGTGTGTGTACGAATCGTACTAGGGTCGACGTGTGCTTGCCGTGTCTCGATGTGTCCCAAAGCTGTACTCACTGGGACACAGTCAGTGACACAGCAATGATAGGATCCTTTCGATCCTTTTAAAGCCAGGCTTTTGCAGGAACCCTATGGCGGATTCCATGTTTGCTCTTGGGAGGGTCAGTCTAGTGGTTTCCATCTCAGGGTCACTAAACCGCGTTTCCGGGTCGTCTCCCAAGATCCGGAAAGGTCCCGGAGGAGGTCCCGGAACCGCGTGCTGTTCATCCAACGAGTTTGGAGTCCTGGTCCAAGCTCCGAGGGATACATGGGAAAAGCTAAAGATGATTGAAGACTCGTGAAGGCGAACGTGAAGATATAGGGATGAGATGGTTTTTAGATGGTGCAGATGGTGCATATAGGAAGCATGTTCTTCATCTGATTCTCCAACATGCTGGGCCGATCTGAAGAGATTGGTGTTGGGTGTACTTTTCGCACCAAAGAGAAAGTCAACAACGACAACACAACACAGACTCTTCGCCTTCTCAACCCCTCCCGGCCGCCGAACAGCGCCCCAGCCTGCCCCAGCCCCCGTCGAGAAGCGCCATGGGGAAGGGAGGGCGAAAAGGCGGTAAGGGCGGCAAAGGCAAGGGCAAGGGCCGACGAGAAGGCCAGGCGGTGGTCGGGTTGGAAGACGGTTTTCCGTTGGTCGTATTTTTCCGCGTCGACGAGGCCGGGGTGCAGTGAAAGAGGGGTTTGGAATTCCGTTCTTCGATTCCTAGAAAGAATTGGATTTTGGTTGTTTTGATGCATGAACGCGTCTTGGCGCACCATGGGAAGTCCCATTTCTGATCATCATTTCGGGATTGTTTCTTATTTAGTTTTTTTTCCCCAAACGGGCTCCTTCTGGTAGTACGTACCTTCTGAAGTGTTTGGGGTGGGGTGGACTAGTTGGGATGAGCTTGTTCCAGACCGCCCTTCCAAGCTTCTTCTCGTCCATGCCATGCGAAGGCCCGTAGGCTTCTTCTCTGAAGTCGCGTGACTTCCCATCGTTCACACGACCCGAACCGGGTCTCAACGGAGCTGAAGAACATACCCATCCAGTTGAGTCTCACGCTGATTCTCCTCGCCTGCTGACGTCCATTGGTCGGGGTTTCTTGTTGGAGCCTCCGATCGGGGTCTTGGAGGTGGACACATTTGTGGTGAACCCCCCCGGGTCGTGGGTCACGGTCACCTACACGCCGGGCGGGCAAGCGAGGGTTCTGACTCCTCGAGGTGGGGTCGACTGGTGGGGCAAGCCTTTTTGTTTTGGACGTATAGATTGGGGTGTTCCCATGACCACGAACTGGTCGAGCTGAGGTGAATCACTTTGGAGTCGAGAGTGAGAGGCCTGCCACCGAACGAAAAACACATCCACTGGACCCAAGAGATAGTGGGATACAGTGGGATAGACCCTGAATTCAGGTACATCAAGGTACCAAAACATCTAAGTCTTTCTTCCTGCTACCCAGCGCCCGCCCGTCTCGGTCACCAGGCGAGGACGGTCCCAAGGCCACTCGGCGGCTCCGCGGGGTCGAACGCCTCGGGTCGATGACGGGAATGCGCGGAGGGCGGTTGGGGAACGTGGTGGGGGCGGGGAAGGACGCATGGACGCGATGAAGAAGTCGCGTGCATTGGAGTGTTTCATTTCTTTTTTTACAGTAGCCGATTGCGTAGCCGATGATCAAGACACGTTTATCCACATTTGGTGGAAGTTCTTCCAGGACGAGTGGAGTTCGTTGCTGCGCAAGCAATTGCTCACCTGTGCTTTGGTGTCATGGCGCCAAATGATGATCAACATTGTCAACAAGTGATGAAAAGCGCTCAAGAGATCAAAAAGTGTTTGCATGTGTTTGTCTCCATTGGGATGAAGGCAATGAAAGATCAAAATGATCAAATCTAGCCTAATTATAGCCGTACTCGACTGGCTGTGTGACAGGTCTCATATCCGGAATCGGCCCATTAAGCCGTCCATGTTGATCACACACCACGCGCCACATCGAGAGTTGCTTGCAGTTTTCGGATCGGAGGACAATGTGAGGACAAAAGGAGATCACTGAATCAGACTCTTTGGACATCTGCTAAGAACACTGCCGCGTTGGAGTACGTCTTCGACCGTCTCTAGTCTACCGTTTGATCATGTGACTTCCCAAGGAGGACTGCCGCGTTGGAGTACCACAGTTCTTCTTGTTGATAGCTCGTGCGTTGTGATGCAAGTGACGCAAATCAGAATACCATTCTCCAAATACATCCCTTTCACACAGCCCACTTTCGCCTCCGCACATCCAGAGATCCCATCGACCCCAGGGGGGTTTGGAACCTCGGATCCGTTTGATTTCGCTCCGCGCGCGGCGTTACGCGTCTAAAACGCGGAAGGCGCTGGGCGTGTCCAGCGAGCTTCACACCGCGGCGCGCGAGGGCGACGTGCAGAAGATCGAAGCGCTGTGCCGCGGTTAGATTCGAGGGCAAGGGCACCAGTGAGGGGCCGATCTTGGGGGCACCTGACGTCCAAGTGAACGAAGTCTGGAATTGGAACGGAAAGGTCCAACTGTTCTGCAAGAGAAGTCTCATTTGATCAGGAGCTGGGTGATTGATATCGAAATAGTGTCTAGAAAGGTCTCAGAAAGAGGTTCTCATCATGTAGCTGTTGCATTCTTGTGCAGAGAGGTCGCCCCAGTTTCTTCATTGACCTCTGAAATTTCTTGTGGCTCACCTGTCAACGACCAATCAACCAGCGTGCCGAGTGCCGAGGCTCTCGGATGCCCCGGGGGCCGACGGCGACGGCGGCGTGCGGCCGGTCAACGCTCCGGACCAGCACCGCCGGTCTCCGCTGCACATGGCCGCCTTCTTCGGAAAGGCCGAAGCGGTGCCGTGGCAGTACGGTAAGAGGTGAATCGCCACCGGGGCCCCGGTGGGACCTCTTCTCTTTCAAAGTTCAGTAGTACCAGGACCCTGCTGTCGGGGTGAGGTGCCCTGTCTGGAAGCCGAACGGCCGGTAGTGTGGGGTAGTCCAGCCAGGACACCCCGACAGGAGGGTCCTGGTAGGCCGGGCATCAAGAGGCAAAGTACGAGCTTTTTCCTGTCCACCACCTGGCCAAATTTTGGGCCTGTACATGGTGCTTCCATGTTTCTTCGGCGCCTTCCACGCGTTGTATTTCTCAGATGAGCTGTGCAAGGCCACATCAACTTCTGGGGATGAGCTGTGTAAGTCTAGCCATGTCTCGCCCAATGCCGCACACTCAAAGCATCTCAAAATCGGTCGGTGAAAGCGGTGAGTTAGGCAGCTTCACTGCGTAGGATGGAAGATGCCCGCCGTTTTGTGGCTGAAAAGGAGTTTTCATAATCCATAAGCTAACTTGAACTTGGTTTCAAACGGCTTGGTGCATGTGTTTGGAGCGCATCGACTGAATGTGCTATCCTTCTGGTGTTGCTCCCTGTGGCTCAGGACCCCTTGGCAGGGTCACAACAGCTGACTCGCGGTTTTGCATGTCACGAAAATGCTGCGAATTCGCTTCCTTTCAGGGCTTGTAGCTGCTGACATCTCTTCAGAGGAGTTAGGCCCTATGGTCCAAAGCGATAAACCATGCAGGGTACTGAAAGATCACTTGGCAGCTGTGCTTGGAGCTTCCAGGTTTCGACAGCGGCTCTTCCATGAGCAGATTGAGTTGCAGGATGAGTCTTCTTTGACCGCATTGTCAGAGCTCCAGGTCGTGATATTAGATTTTCAAGATGCTGGAGATGAAAAGACACAAGCATTCATTTCCGCGTGTGGGGTCGGCCCGCTGGCCAAAGTCGAATCCTTTCTTCAATTGCCACAGAACCCCAACGTGCTAGATCCAGAAGCAGACCAAGCAGCCATCCATGTAGCAGCTGAAAACGGTCAGTTGGAAATAGTGCGACTCCTACTGGAGGCAGGAGCTGATAAGGATCTTGCAGCCGAAGATGGCAACACAGCCTTGCAGGCAGCAAGTTGGGGAGGGCACTTGGAAGTGGTGCGAGAGTTACTGCAGGCAGGAGCCGACAAGAATGCTGTTTGGGAAGATGGCTCAACAGCCTTGTGCTGGGCAAGTCAGGATGGCCATTTAGAAGTGGTGAAAGAGTTGCTGCTTGCAGGAGCTGATAAAGAAGCTGCAACCGCAAATGGATTCACACCTTTGCACCGATCAAGTCACAATGGTCACTTGCAAGTGATTCGAGAATTGTTGCTTGCAGGAGCTGACAAAGACGCTGTATCCCAGACTGGCTTTACACCTTTGCTGCAGGCAAGTTGGCAGGGGCACTTGGAAGTAGTGCGAGAGTTGCTCAACACAGGAGCCGGCAAAGATGTCGCAGAGCAGGATGCTGGATTCACAGCTTTGCACTTGGCAAGTCTCCATTGCCA